ACTCTCACGCTGACTTAAATTTCTGAGGTACTTATGAACATGTTTTATGAAGAACATTTTATGGCATGTGGAGAACCTTTCACATTTGAAGGATCAGTGACCAAAATGATGTCCGATGCAGTTCCCAATTTTCATTTGTACCATATATTTGCATCTTGTTGAAGGATCAGAGACCAAAATGATGTCCGATACAGTTCTCAATTTTCATTTGTACCATATATTTTGCATATTGTTGAAGGATCAGAGACCAAAATGATGTCCGATACAGTTCCCAGTGTTCATTTTTACTATATATTTGCATTTTGTCAATGACAGAACCGCACGTGCTGATGATAAATTGGGAATAGCACAATGGATTCTTCTTTCATAATTAATGAATATGGATATGACTTTGTCACTTATATTGATATATCTATGTTGAATATGTCATTTATTTATAACAGTGATGATATGGTAATAGTCATTCATGCTGTCATGAGCAATGTTCGTCTGGAATTAATAATTCATGATGTTCGCCATTGCACTGCTTTAATGATATATTTAAAAAGAAATTTATTCTGTCAGTGTGTCATGTGATGTTGAATACATCTCGGGTCAGCAAAAGAGGATGTTCCATGGTCTGCTGCACATTTCGCTTTACCATAGTATTTATAGTCTTCAAAAAAGTAGTGAAACTTCATATTTAATTTACGATTGAAAAAATGGAAGATATGTCGCAGTCAGTCAATGTTATGATAATCATGAATGTTTGAGAGTGCATCACCACTTGCACTTCCTTATGACCATAGTTGTTTGTACAGCAATCACTCATGAACGATGACGTGAAATTTGCATGTGTACGATTTAATTTTTTTAGAATAAACAACAAACAAAAACACGGCTAGAAATACTAAATTACTAACAACTGTGTGATACAAGATGATTGTCAAAATTAATGGTGTACAGTGATTTATCAACCTTCTTAAAAAACGTCAAAATCAAGAATGACACCCCAAGTACGTGTATGGGAGCTACTGCGTTGTGCACGTGCATCTTGCATCCCATACGTTGTGTATAGGGGTGGTGATAAAGAGGAAGATGTCTGTCTTTGAAAAGTTTATTAACGCTTATACTTCCTATCCAACTACTATCCCTACTTTTTAAAGAGTAAATTACAACTAGTTTGTTCGTAGTATTTTCCCACTGGTGATCGTTGTCTGACACGTACGAATGCCTAATACTTCCACTTAATAAAAAACCTTTCAATGAAATTTTTGTTGTTCGATTATCTTGTCTAAGCTTTGGAGTTTGTTCTCCTTATTTAAATCATTCATTCGTCGGTTCAAGTATTTTCTCGTTACTTCGATTATATTCCACTAATTTAGTGGCAGCATTAGAATTTCGAAGACGCAAGGTTAGTTCTGAAAACTAAACCGTCACGTGGTATGAGAGCTTAATTGTTAGCGTCCTCCTTTTAACGGAAAAAGTAACGGTGTCTTAGTAATATTCTCAAACAAACAATCAGTAAATATCCGAAAAACAAAAAAATCGGTAAAAATGCCAAAACGTTATTCACAATAATAGGCGGGTATTACTACCTGTGTGATGTCAGTTATGACGTCACGTTTATGTAAATCATGCTTCTGGCATTATCAGATCAATTCTAATGGTAAAAAATAGAATAGCGTTCACGTTTGAAAATATGTATTTTAATGTGTGTGCTTATCAGTAGTAGTAGTTCCATGCACAACTCAGAGAAACTGGTTTGCAAATTACTCTTGCCATCTCCGATAAAAGCGTACGGCCTTTGTAGAACATATGTCACAATGCTTCGTTAAATATTTATACACCTCTGAGAACAAAGGATTGGCTCAACAAGTCCAACTCTTTATCCTCTGTCCTCAGTATTGTTCAATCCGTTCTCTTGATCTCGTAGTTAACGTAATGCTATTTGGCCAAATGCACTAATATATTTAGTTGACGAATATCAATTCATAGACTAAATATTTCGATATTTCAGGTTTAGTGTATCCACACGTTTTTCTTATTCTTTGCGTCAGTTAAGGTTCGACTTAATGTATCTCTATATTGTTACTCGTCCCTCTAAATATATCTAGCTGAGGAATAATAATTCCTCATCGATTAAATATTCCGATATTTCAGATTTAGGGTATTTGAACGTTTTTCGGAACCTATGTTGTTACTACACCCAAGCACATCCCTTACGTATTATTTTTCTGGTTCCTGAGAAATGCCTCAAATAATGTTATTCAAGTGCATAATGACGTATAATACAGGGCTTACCTCCTCCCCTAAATGTGTTCAAGGCGCTGAGAAAAGTCTCTTAATGTTCACCATTAAATATCAGGAAGAATGTTATTACTCGATTTCTTTGTCGTTTATACGAGGAAGATTTGTTCTGACCGATTGCAACCAACACCAAGAGGAATTAATTTGTTATCATGAGCAGGTGTGAGACAAGGCTTTGTTCTGAGGCGTTCATTATTATTTCATAGTTCTGATAAAGTGTATGTACCCGTATGCATTTTACCGTGTTCATCAAAATATATATTTTATTCTAACTTGATGTCATTAAAACTGTTTCTTATCTAAATACACACAGCAATATAACAGTATATTATACTTAGTTCATCGCCGATCGTCGTAGTTGTTGTTGTTGATGATGATGACGATGATGATGATGATGATGATGTTGGTATCAATAATATACAAATGCCACCCGGACAAAGGCCACCCGGACAAAGGCCATCCAGACAAAAGTCACCGGACAAAAGCCACCGGACAAAAGCCACCCGGACAAAAGCCACCGGGACAAATGCCACCAAGACAAATGCCACCAGGACAAAAGCTACCGGGACAAATGACACCCAGAACAAATGACACCTAGGACAAAAACCTATTTTACCATTACAGAGAGGACAATTACCACCCTTTCTGACTTTAATGATTTTTTTATAAGATGTAAGTAAGGAGGGCTGATTTTAGAAATTCTAAGTATACAATTGTTAAATCTTTTTTAAATTAAATATACGCAAATTTTAAGACACAAAGCATCAATTAGGGTAGACCATATAAAATAGTCACTACTACATGGTATATCTGTCTATTTCACTTCCAATATGGATAACCAAGTAGAATATGTTTCATCACAGAAAGAAGTAAAGAAAGTTCATCACAAATAAAAGGACATCGCTATGTTAGACACAAGAACCTTTGGTGTTGTTAGCTATCATTATGTGATGCGCCGTAAGGGAGAGTGTAAGGTGTCGATGAAGGTATTGGATGATCGCTTGACTACGAAGTTGTTTTGGAGAGACTTAGGACACATCCTACCATGCATGACGTTTTGCCCCTACTCCTCGAGACGGCGGCATCGGTGGTCAAGGACACAGAGCGTGAGCCCACGGAACGGAAGGGAGAGGTTCGATGCCCTGACCCTGTCACACTCACAGACGTTAACGTGTAGTGCGTGCTGTTTCGCTGACAAGTGCTCGACATCAAGGCGATGAAAAACGTCTAGTCCGCTTGGAGTCAAAATAATGTGTCTGAGTTGGGTAACACTGTTCAACCGAGGCCTGGTTTTTTCATGGTCAAGCACAATCAAATAAGCACAAGCAGCGTTCATTACGTTCATTACGTAAGTGCATTATTCACCGACACATCGATGAGATCACAGAGTCATGTAACTTGTTACATATATTATATATAATAAATGTTAGTATAGAGCTATGTCGTATTGTCGTGAGTCTGTCAGTCCAGCTGTTTTAACTTCTAGAAAGAGGTAATCTACTACTTGAACCTATGTGTCACCTAACGTATACTCACCGTGACGACTCCTGGTTGGAATACGTCCTCATCAGAATATGTGTGTCTTAAGAAGCGACTTTATTGAGTGAGTATGGTTTTACGCCGCTTTTAGCAATATTCCAGCAATATCACGACGGGGGACACCAGATATGGGCTTCACACATTGTACCTCGGTGAGGAATCGAACCGGATATTGGGCGTGACGAGCGAACGCTTTAACCATTAGGCTACCCCACAGCCCCAATGAGCGACTTTAAGGGAACGGATGGTCAAGACCTACAAATGGTTTGACAGTGTGCCATCGAACTCAAACGAATTTGCTTATTATATTAATCACTGACGTTTATGGTCCCGAGTCTATGCTGCAACATTCTGAGTGCGACGTTAAACAATTAACTAACTGATTAAGGCACGGTTATTGCAAGGGTGGCATTAAATTACCTGATCTAACTATCCTTTGCAATTGTATCAACCCTTGGCAACGGATCAACACGTCTACACGTTCCTCGTCTCGTGTTACAGGTATCATTTTATGAGCTATGAGGCATGAGGCAACAAACGACAACTTTCATTCTTTATCCTCAAGGGCTATTTCAGAACATGCTGGCTTTTTCGTGAATCCTCCGGTTATGTCACTGACATCCACATAATTAGAACGTTTTTGTTTTGTCTGTTTGTTTATATTTTACGTCCAATAACCAAGATAACTTTCATTCTTTATCCACAAGCGCTATATCAGAACAAGTTGACCCTTCTGGCAAACTCCCTGGAACCGTCAAAGATTTTCAGTCATCCATTCATATAATTTGTTGGGTTTTTTTAAAATTGTATTTTGCGCCTATTAACGGAGACTGACAATTCTCGGACGTGAGCGTTTTATTTCAATACTGAGTAAACCATTAAGTTGATATACCTGCTATGTAATGAGCTTTTATGTTTAACTTGTGATATGACCAAAAAGAAACAGGTGGGTCTCAAACTTATTTATGTTTAAAGTTGCCTTTTGACACGCCAGCTAAAACATAATTAAGATGATGATGATTTCAGCTTCTCATTTTGTAAGTTTTGAATATTAATTTGAATGCATCTTGATGAGTTCTACAAAATACCATAAACATGCGAACAACGATTGGTGTGATAAACTGTCGAAACCGCTTTAGTAATATGAATGAATTTTGCAAATTACTACCTACCTCCAGTGTCTGTTATTCTTGCTAATATGCACTTTTCATTCCTGTTGACTTCAATTTCCACATAACCATTCCTGTTAGATCGCGCACAGCAGCATCTGACAGAACCCTCCTTTTGTTTTCCAAGATAATTCATCAGGGTACTCTTGCCCACACCGTAGTCTCCCAGAAGGATGATCTTAACGTTGTAGTCGTAACGAGACATGTTTTTGTGTGATATATCCTCGCTTCTCCAGATTCAAAAGCAGACAGAAGACTTGTTTCATTTACGCGAAATCCTACGACCTATGGGAATGTTTCCATTTTCAAGCCGACACAAAGCAAAGCCAGAATTCCACGTGTGTATCACATATAGAAATAAGCTGTGCACAAGCTTATTCAAACTAGTTGCCGCCCCTTTGGTTTTTCCGCGTTTCCCGTTAATGAAGCGGGACAAAGTGGTGCACCTTGTTTGATTCCAAGCACGCACGGCGGTTTTTGTTAAATGTTAATCATCCGTCCCAGCTGGTCACAGGTTGCAAGTACAGCAACCAGGTAAGCAGAGCTCTCTCTCTCTAATAAAGAAATCTACCACAATGCCATATGTCCGACCGCATGTATTAATTACCTCAAAGATGTATTCCGAAACACTGTCCATAAGAGAGTGCGCGCGTATTCCTTTCAGGTAAGAGTCAGCTATATACGCAACTTAAATATAAATAACACAATCTGGCTGTCTAATTGAACAAGGAACGTTACCAATCACGTATCCACAGTTCACTAGCTGGTCAATTAATAATACTCAGCAAATTCAATATGTATATATGCTCCGAGTTCCAGGCACGTGTTCCGCATGTGCCTGTCAAACGTTCACAACATCAGATATGAATCCGTCTATCGTTGGCGCGCTGATTTTGTCTGTTGTTGATAAAGCCATGTCAGGTTACAGGTTGTGTTACTGGAGTATAGTCCTATCACAAGACTCGGGGAGCTCGATGCAATCTTTCGAGTCTCATCAGAGCTATTTTAGTCCCAGCCACCGCTCTTGTGGTGAGGCACTCCAGTGTTATTTATACCTGGGCTAAAGCCTCGCGACAGAGGGAGACGTGCTGCCCGGAGGTCAGAGGTTGTGTCAGTCAAACTTTAGTACAGATGAGATCTCACCTGCCTTCTCCCTGTATGGAAGTGAAATAGGAAGGATGGCTTTGTTGACGGAGGCCTCTTCCGTTGACTAATGTACAGAGTGTTATAATGGCTTTGTGATTATAATGTATATCCGAACAATAGCGACTGGCAACGTGGTAACGCCACCTGACGACAAGATCGATTGGTCAACGGGCGGTTATTGGGGGTAATCACAATGCACTGGCAATATATATGCTGTACATCACAGTGCAATTAGATTTTTGGGGGTGGGGGTGGGGAGTGGGGACCCTAGAGTGGATTTGCTAGAGTGAAGGACACAATGGCGTCACCTTAACTATATGACCAGTAAGTTACACAAACGCGTTTAACTGGGCTGATAGGTACGCTGTTAATGCTTTAAAAATTGAGTGAGTGAGTACGGGTTTACGCCGCTTTAAGCAATCTTCGAGCAATATCACGGCGTGGGAAATCAGAAATTGGCTTCACACACTGCATCCATGTAGCGTAAAATTTGAATTCCAGGGAAAGAAAGAGGTTTAGTAATATGGGTTTGGGACACCTATTAAACGTAGCGGTTGTACATAAATCTTTTGAGAGTGAGTGAGTTTAGTTTTACTCCACACTCGGCAATATTCCAGCTATATGCCGGCATTCTGTAAATAATCGAGTCCGGACCAGACAATCCAGTGATCAACGGCATGAGCATCGATCTACGCAATTGGGTTACGATGATATGTGTCAACCAAGTACACTCTCCCAAAAAATGAAACTCATAGGTCATATTGCTTCATTAATTTCAAATAGTTTTCAAAATTAGTGTAATTGTTATAATTTTGCACTTATAATGCTGGTTTGTGTATATGGAACGAATGCACAACGCAAAAACGCATCTTTGGAACCTTTAATCAATTTGCATGAAAATGTCATCCAGAAAAACTCTCAACAAATCAGAAAACTAAATTCTCTTCCTACAATAATATCTCCCTTCGCAGATTCATTCACGATTGTGGAAACAGAGAAAGTTTTGAATTACGACCATTATCCACCTCAATCTTTGACTAAATCATGAGCGGCAAGATAAGTAGTTAAATACGCATATATAGTGAGTGAGTGAGTTTAGTTGTACGCCGCACTCAGCAATATTCCAGCTATATGGTGACCGTCTGTTAATAATCGTGTCTGGATAAGTGTAACACAATAGGCCACATGCCGCTGTGTTGGCCCATGACACTAATCCAGTGAGACAGACGCACTATTTCTCTGCCACCTAGCTGACCGGTGCGTGTCTGGCTGAGAAACTATATTTCACTAAAAAGTCAGGACAGGGTCTTTCGAACGCTTAAACAATGTCACACCAGACATTAACGAGGGAAGTGATTCATGTGGTGGATAGAAGCAGGATCAAATGCATCGGACACTGTACTGCCCACTGTCCCTCCAGACTGACCAGGATATGACAAGTAGGAGACCATATCTCACTAGAAGTTAAAAACAAGGAGTTAAGAAAACTGACGTGAAACAACACACTGAACATTGGCCACGAGGATGATTAATCTAGTGGACTTAGCTGGATCAACCTGCCAGATTGTTTGTGGCCAGTATGACGTTTAAGAGAGGGGGGGTACGCTGGTTAAAAAGGCAGCCAGGCACTCTCAAGCAGATCCCAACCGACTCTCACAGACGACTCTACTGCCAGCTGAGAGGGACTCTCTGCCTGCCTCTACCTACAGCTGTTTGGACCCAGCCGGGACCATGCTGACCAGACCAGCCCTGTGGACTCTGTGATGGGACTGTGGACTCTGTGATGAGACTGCGACTGAAATAAATACTTAAATTCCTTGCAAACCTTTTGTTGTCGCCTGTTTTACTTTGTTACAAGTAAAGGCGATGCTTAGGGTTCTTTAACTGGTGCCGAGACCAGGATCTCCATTGGAAAAGGACTTTCGAGGAGGAAAAATCTGCGTGGAGACTGGCCCGACGAGAAAACGAGTGAGTAGACAAGGGTTTTGTTGTTAGTACTCTCAAATATTCGAAATGGCAAGCCAGGAGTTAGGCGAGTTTCTTCAAGGGTTGGCAAACCAAATTTCGGGACAGTTGTCCAATTTATCATCAAAAATAGGGACACAAGGAATATCCTCGGTAGTTCGGAGTTTCGATGGAGACCCCAAAAGGTACAAGGAATGGATTAAGGCCATTGAAAAGTATTCGGTATTAACCAATTCAAATTCAAACCAAAAGAAAATGATAGCATACCAAACTAGCGCAGGGGCCGTCAGTGACTTTATACACAGGTTTATGAATGACCACGAGCAGGCAACGTGGGAAGAATTAAAAGTAGAACTAACAAGGCGGTTTGCAGAAATAACCGATCCACAACACGCTTTTATGTTACTCCGGTCCCTCCGGCAAAAGCATGGTGAAAGCGTACAGCTATTTGCTGAACGCCTACTAAATTTAGCGGAGGAGGCATATGCAGGTTTAGGCCCGGATGGCAACGGTATGGCAGTGGAGAGGCAACTTGTGGGGTTCTGTATAGATGGGCTTGCTTTCGACTACTTACAGAAGAAATTAATGAGAGAAAACCCGCCAAATTTGGCGACAGCTGTCACCTCGGCCACACATGAACAAACCATTAGGGCTCGTTTCGAACTAAGGTTGGGAAGGTCAAGTGATAGGTCAAGTGGTAGACATAGAAGCCCAAATAACAGTAGGGAAAGGACATTCCTAAATGAACGAAGAGAAGAAGCGATGGACATAGACCATCTGAGGCATAGGAGATGTTTTAAATGCAATCGAACAGGGTATAGGGCTAGAGATTGTAACATTCAAACTAGTCAAAGTGGGCTGCAAACGAGACGGGGGATTCATGCAGTGGTAGGGACAGGCCGTCCCCATTCCCCAAAACCAACAGTGTGTTGGTCATGCAACCAACCAGGACATGTCAAGAGAGAGTGCCCGAATAGACGAAGAGTGACTTTTGCCAACGTCAATGATAGAACTTTAAACTAGAACCTCTTCTCCACAAAGAAGCCACTGGGGAAGAGGATGAAAGAAAATACTCAATTAACCTGGCAGGAAGACCAAATTCATGCAGTGTTAAAATTGGTAAACAAAAGGTTAGATGTTTAATAGATTCGGGAGCAGAGGTATCGATAATACATAGGAGAATATTTGAATTAATTAAGGGATTTTGCAAACTTGAAATGAAAAAGATTTCCCTGCAGGGAGTTAATGGTAATGCTCTGGAAGTAGATGGCAGCGTCAATCTGACTTTCAAACTTATGTGGTCCGGAAAATGAACCGGAACATGATCCTTGGCCATGACTGGTTGACCAAAGCAGGTGTGAGGCTTTACTTTGATCTCGGTAGTTTAAGAATAGGCAAAACGTATGTCCCCTTGGAGGAGGACATTCACATTTCCTCTGTGGTAAGGTTGGCAGCAAACATAACTATAAAACCACAAAGCAAAAACGTTCTCAGAAGTAAAGTTAAGAATAGGGAGGGCATGCAAGCTGATAGTGTGTATCAATTGACAGCTATTGATACTGGTTATTTGGCAAAAGAACCGGGTATCCTGGTTAGCAATTCCATTGTCAAGATAGATAAACACAGAAATGTCCCAGTCATGCTAGTAAATAATACCAACAAATCCATTAGATTAAGACGAGGTTGTATTATGGGGAAATTGGAAAGCATTCCTTCAGAGAGCGTAATCAACATGTCAGACTTGCCGGACAATGACAGCGTTACGAATGACAAGGACGTTGACATTAACGTGCCACCAGAACACGAGAGTAGTGTTTATGACATTGTTAACTGTAACCGAGACCTTTTTGCAAAGAATGACATGGACTTAGGGCATACAGACACAGTGAAAATGAAAATAGACACTGGCGATCATCCCCCGATTAGAATGAAGCCCTATAGAACGCCGTTAAACAAACGTCAGGTAGTCGATAAGGCAATTAACGAGATGCTTGAAGCTAAAATAATACAACGTTCAAGGTCACCATGGAGCTTCCCAATTGTAGTTGTTGATAAGAAAGACGGCAGCAAAAGATTTTGTATCGACTTCCGTGCATTGAACCGAATCAGCCGCCCGATTTCGACCCCGCTACCTCTGATCGATGACATCCTAACCCAATTAGGCGATTCTAAATACTTTACAACCCTGGACTTAAAGTCTGGATATTGGCAGGTGTTGATGGATGACAAGGACAAAGAGAAAACCGCATTTGCCTGCCATCGGGGACTTTTCGAGTTTTCAGTAATGCCATTTGGCTTATGCAACGCCCCGTCTGTCTTTACGGAACTAATGAATGTCGTTTTAGAGGACCTTGAGGCTTTTGCAATTGCCTACCTTGATGATGTCCTGATCTTCTCTAAAACCAAGGAAGAACATCTGAAACACATTCAATTGGTCTTTGACAGGATCCGGCGACATTCTTTAAAATTAAAACTGTCAAAATGCTCATTTATGCAAAAGGAAACCAACTATTTGGGGTTCATCATCAATCAGGATGGGATCAAGCCCGATGAGAAAAAGGTTGATGCGATCCGCTCTATGGAGGCTCCTGCCTCGGTTCGAGAAGTCCGCAGCTTTGTTGGCATGTGTAGTTATTATAGGAGGTTTATACCAAACTTCTCAAAAATAGCTGAGCCAATTGTGAAGTTGACCAAGAAGTATGCCCGATTTGCTTGGACAGATGAATGTGAACAGGCCTTTCAGTTCCTGAAAAGGAGTCTCACTGTGGTGCCCCTGCTGACGTATCCAGATCCAAGCAGGCCGTATGTACTTTACACTGATGCCAGTGATAGCTGTGTGGGTGCCTGCCTAGCACAACTACATTATGACGACAGTACATCTCCGGGACCATGCTGACCAGACCAGCCCTGTGGACTCTGTGATGGGACTGTG